GAGTAGCCCAAGAGTTGGCTGATGACTAGTTGCCTTCCCTCTAGTCTTACACTGCTAAATTAGGGACGGCTAGCGCAGATAGCCCTCATGTAGCTTTGCGCGAAATTCAAAACCAAACAAACCAAGAAACGTTTGTTTTGATTCAAACGCATAGCTGCACAATGGGCTAGCTGCACTGTGGTTACCGCAGGAATCAAATTTCAATTCTATAGTTATAACCTCTCGAGCTTACCCTTGAGCCACAGGACGACTTCCCGGCACTTATTTTACTTAGAAATATATATGGAGTCCAAGATTGAACTGGTCTTTGTGATTTTATGTCGCCGAATTTCACAATACAAATATTTGTTTGTTTGTTGTTACATGCTACATGGACTATCTGTACTGTGCCTACCACAAGTACCGAAACACGGTTTTTGGCAGTGTAATCCCTCAGACATGCTAAAGTAACAATACTACATTATTAGACACATAAATTTCAGAATCTATTTTTAATATATATATATATATATATTGAGTTACTCGCTCCTGGAAAATAATGCATTCTCATGAATATTTAACAATACTAAACAAATAAATATTAAAGTAATGAAATCTGTTACTTGGATTTCTAAATTGTATAATAACAATTATTCTGCTATGCTGTTAGGCTTTATTTAGATTGGTTTACTTGCTTAGTGATACTAGCTTATGGCAAACAAATTTGAACTTATGTTTTATGATTGAAACATCAAACGTGAAAGGGTCAACTCTTGTTTATGTTCAGGAATCGAAACCCATTTAACAGTATTGTGTTATCCAGTAGGTTGATAAGAAGCGTCAAGTGTTTTGACAGCCACAAAGAGAGGTGTTTCACCCACACCCAACAGAAGGTTTTCAACCACGTGCTTGCTGGGGCCCGCCAATTTATTGAAGAATTATGTGTATCAGGAGGTGTACAGCAAGGTATGTATCTTTTTCGAACACACTGAACAACGAATTATGTTAAACAAATAAGTCATAGATAAAAAAAAAGGCTTGTCAAGTTTCAGTCGTTAATAACGTAACCACTTTCTATGTATTATTGAGTTTTAGATCCGTATAAGATAAATATACATAAAATTCATAAAGTTAATAACTAAGCGTGTTCTAAAATGAACGTATTAAACGGATCAATCCCTCTTAGTCTTTGATAAAGTTTCCCAAAAGCTGGCGAGCCTTGGTATTGACTAGCTAGCTGCCTTCCCTTTGGTCTATCATTTCGAAATTAAGGCTGGCTAGCGCAGACAGTCCTCGAGCAGCCTTGTGCAAAATTCAAAAAATAAATATATGAATCTGTGAAACATGATTTTGTACTTTCACTTACGATAATGTTTCTTGGAAAGTTGACTTTCATTGATTCATAACATGAATTAAATATGGCCAAACAGTACAAATTTACATTTAAAGTTAATATATTATATATGTTTTAGAATTAGTAAATTTCATTATAGAATTAACCGAATGTAAATGCTTTGATTTAATGAATAGTACATGTGTTGTTTTTGTGTTTTTTAAGCACAAAACTTCACAATTGGCCATTTGTTTTTTGCCCACCGCGGGTATCTCAAACTTGAATTGTAGCATTGAAAGCTTTCAGACGTATCGTTTGGGTGAACGGGAGAAGTACTTGTATTAGAGATAATACATTACAAACTGTTTAGATTTAATGAACTGTACATGTTAATTAAATATAGTTTTTGTTATAATTAATAAGGTGCTCATTTTCAGGTTTAATAAGTTATAATGTTCTAGGTTTGGTTTGTTTTAAATTTCACGCAAAGCTACACAAGAGCTATCTGTGGTAGTCGTCCCTAATTTAGCAGTGAAAGACTAGAGGGAAGGCAGCTATTCATCATAACCCACCGTCAACTCTTGGACTACTCTTTTACCAACGAATAGTGGAATTGACCGTCACATTATAATGCTCACACGGGTGAAAGGACGAGCATGTTTGGTGGGGATTATAACCAACAACCCTCAGATTTTTAGTCAACCACCTGGCCATGCTGACCCTATAATGTTCTAGGGTTAATGCATTGTATATGTTTCAGGGTTAATCAAGTATATATATTCTATGTTTATTAAAGCATAAACATATGCAAGGTATATCATGATAAAGTATATCATTTTTTTAGTATTTCATTTTGCGGAATGCCTCTGTTACATACAGGAATACTACGTATTTCCTATCTTCTTATTGAATATACATATATACATGTGTTTTTGATTTTCGTACATTTTGGGTATGTAGTCTTAATATAGAATGTCGGCCAAGGGACTCACTAAGTTACTGTCGCAATATTAACCTACTGAACTGGTTCATTCAACAATATGTAACATGTACTTTCTCAAAGGAAAGGTTCCTGTCAAGTGGAACATGCACTATCGAAACAGAAGGTGAATGTTTCCACTTGCAGGCCAGTTGAAATCTTTAGGATACAACCTCATTTATTTTGCAATGAGAGTAACCACCAGTCACGTGGGTAGCACCTGCACTTAACTTAGAGAATAATAGCATTAATACTTTGAATACATAATGCTATATCTTATCAGTCTGGGACAGTAGTATTAGGGATGGTAGATAGATTTATATTTTGGACTCGAAAAACCCAATATATTACTTTCTTGTTTAAACTTTGAATGTTGTCGAACTGAATAATGATTGTTTCACTGTGTTCTACATTGTGAATTCAAATTTGCTCCATAATACATTTTCTGGGGGACCTTTTGTGTATTGTCCTACCTGATTGCTTTAAGGTATTTCAGTGTATTTGAAAATACCACAGAGTAAATAGGAAGGAAAAAAATTGGTGTGACCAAACTATGTACTGACCATTATCCCTTTAATAAGTGGACTGAGGCTTATTCATTGGTCGATACTTCAGGATCGTCTGCTGCTGATGTGTTGGCATAACACTGGATAGCCCAATTTGTGTGTCAGAAGGCATTCAATGGACTAGGGAGTTAATTTCAATAGCCATCTATTTTCTGAGTTGAGCAAACTTTGCCTTATCACCTCAATCTGATAATTTAATAGAACAGGTAATACAGACTATCAAGTGGATGTCTGCAAAGTTTTTAATCTGGCAAAATTGAGAGATGTGAACTTTATATGTGTTATGATGATGTACTGCACAACAGACAGAATTTAATGAGGAAATACTGCTTCCTGTGGATGTATGGTTTACACCTAGAGAAGATGTGCTGTAGTTTTCACAAGAACATGTGAAGAATTTAAAGTCTTTATTGTATGATTCACATTAGTTTGTGCAGCAACAGCTAGAAAAGGCCGCCATACCGGAGAAAAGGTGTCATGACAAAACTGTTAATCAATAAAAATTACCAGTGTGAAGACATGGGTATGGCTTTGGTATGTACCAGAAGCATGGAAGCAGTTTGGCTCTGTCTGGACGTGTTATCATTTCCTACTTTCACAGATCAGTCCATTGAACTATGAGTTACAGTGGTCATGTGGCAGGTGTAAGTTCATGGAACACGTGGACAAGCTAAGCTAGTATGTTACAGGCAAAACCTTTCATGTATTGGCTTGCACGGGAATTAAAGTTTGAGATTGTCCAGTCAGTGTATGATGTAAGTACTGCTATGTATCATCTCAGCTCAGCTGATGAAGAAGATGTAAGTACTTATCTGGCAGTACAAGATAAACCAGGCGAGGAAGTGCCAAGATAGAATAGGCTGGTGGTTGACCAATAATCTGATGATGGCATCTTGATCAATCTGGTTTGAATTAACTGCCAGAGCAACAGCTAGGAAAACCACTGAATGTGATATCAATGACTAAAAGTAAATTATGTTTCTTTCTTTCGGAGGATCAAGTTGTGTTTCATAGTTAAATGTTTGCATTACATTGTGTGATTATTGCAGAGATAGCGTGATTTGTTGATCACAAGATTAACAGGACAGAAAGGGCATTTTGATATATCATGGAGAGCTGTTCGGTTATTACATAGTTAGGACAACTTGTGTAACGGCTAGAACATGAACAATTTTTATTACTGAGGGTTACCACTAACAGATCAAAGACCCAGATACATGTTTGTTGTGATCCTTACTTTATAAACTATCAAATGGTTTTTCTATTGCACATTAATAGTTTGATATTTTGTGTGAATCATTCACTCATTTGTCTGCCCCCAGTGGCTCAGTGGTATGTCTGTGGACTTATACTGGTAGAATTCGGGTTCCAATACCCATGGTGGGCACAGTACAGATAGCTCATTGTGTAGCGTTGTGCTTAATACCAAAAGAACCAACAAACTGTCTGTCTGAGCATTAGCAGAGGTTCAACATAGTAGATTGCACAGTACACATTTTGTGAGAATCACTCATTCTGTATGAGTTCACAAACTTTGCTAAACAGTCATTGTGATCCTTACTTTCCAAACTATTAAGTGATTTTATACTGAAAAATAGTTTAATATTTTGTGAGAATCACTCGTGCTGTCTGTTTGAGTATACTATGCTAATACATATTAGCAGAAGATCAACTGAGTATATTTTTACAATACGCACTAGAATTTTTACAGTAGACTTTAGTCCATGTGCAGTCAGAGAGTTGTACTCTTTCTTAAGGTGTTGTGAATATGATTGGAATATTCTTTGTTTCACTGGATTTGCCTGCAAGTACTTTGCTGTGTTGCCAGCCGGAGCAAGTGGATTGGCTCATGTAGGGTGATACAATATCTTAATTGTTCAACTGTTGCAGCTGGTGGTCACGTAGAACAACAAATTTTGTCTAAGCTGATCTGAATGTATACTGATATATAATGTAGTGAAAACACGAATATATATTTTGACTGCAAAAATATTAGCTTAAAATCATATTTTGGGTTAATTCTATAAGTGATTAATTGTTTTCTGATGCTCAAAATTTTCACATATATGGCGACATTAATATGGCACCATAACTATTGAGAGCTAGGATAAGTAGCTCATGTAGGTTACTATGATAATGGTGTACGAGTTGGAGGCGTCTCTAAAGTTGTCCCCATTACCTCAGGCCAGCCTGTGGCTGCCATGCTACCAAGAGAAAGTGTCTCAAGATCATGCCACTTTCAGAAGCCAGTCAGACTATAGAGCCCAGCCTATCCCCCCCTCAAGATCATGCCACTTTCAGAAGCCAGTCAGACTATAGAGCCCAGCCTATCCCCACAGAGCCAATAATGCTGACATCAGGACCCATCCTTGCTGCCATCCAGCTAATCATACTTACACCAGATCTCATTCCAGCCATGTTTAAGTCGGAAGTTTCAGAGACATCAGGGAATCAAGGAAGAATCATCAGATGTTCCATCATAAACTGTCCAATGGACAAACAATGCCATCACCCAATGTGTTTACACACTCAGTGGGATTATTGGATATCTTTTCCCAAGCAAACGTTTCCAAAGCTAAAGTATTCAAGAAGAAATTCTAAGTGCTGGGAAGGTCCACTTCATCCACAACACCAGAGGCCTGAATGATACCACCCATTCAGTCATTGCCACAAAAGCTCTAGTGACCTTAAAGATCAGTATAGCAACATTAACATCTACTGATGCTGCTCCACAGCTAGCTAAACAGTCCTAGGCCAACCTGAGTGACCAGAGAAACTAGAGTTGCCAAGAGAAAGCAGTGTACAGAGGGCTGGGTAACTTATAACCAAAGGACACAATCTTTTGAAGATTCAGAATTCTCCTTCTCGGCTGGAGGAGGTTGTGTGTTCACGCTCCAAAGGTTACATACAAATCGACTGTATATTATTATTATCATTATTAATTTTTTGTATATATGTATATCTTTTAGTGCACTTTGTATATATGTATATCTTTTAGTGCACTTTGTATATATGTATATGTTTGTTATATAAGATGTATTTATATTACACTTGTTGTACTAAAATGGTTCACTTTAATATTTTACAC